CTCTTGCTCAGGCTGGTCTCGAACTCCTGAGCTCAAACGATCCTCCCGCCTCGGCCTCCCAGAGTGCTAGGATTACAGGCGTGAGCCCCTGTGCCCGGCCATGCTAAGTGGTTTTTTTTAAATAAATTCAAATAAATTTTTATTCGATTTTGATGGGAAAGGAAAAGAGAAGAGAGCCCCACAAGAGGACACAGACTTTCAGGCTCCAGAGAAGCAGCTGTCGGGGGCCGAGTGAAAACAGAAACTCGAAGCGAGCACACTTCGACTGCACGAAGTTCTGACGAAGCACCTAAATTTGGGTTGAAAGCGGTGGGGTGAGGAGGGACTGTCTGCCCAGAGACGCGCATCTTGCCAAAGGAAACCTGCCCGTCCGTCCTCACCGTCTTTGTCGACGGTGAACGGCACGTCTGGAGTGACGATCTCGTAGCTGCAGATCTGGCTGAACTGTGGGGAGCAGTCTGCGTCCACGGCCTCCACCCTCAGGATGCTGTCGTACTGCTTCCCCTCGCTGACCGTCGCCTTGTAGGACTTCTCCTTGAACACAGGCGCGTACTCGTTCACGTCGTTCACCTGAATGTGAACAGTTGCTCTGGACGAAGGGGAGAAAGAGATTTGTTTGTGTTGTGTTTTGTTTTTTTACCTGAGGAATACCAATTCCACCCTACTTTTTAAATTTCCTTTTTCTGATACTTTGTTTCATGAATTTCATACAATGAAGACAAAAATTAAACCAAACTATTCATTGTTTTTAATTCGGCATGGAGACAACGGAAAGTTAAAATAGAGATTTGGGTTGATGCTTCCATGTCCTAAGAACACGGCAAAACAGCAATGCTATAAATTACTTAGGATTTTCTTGGACAATATGGAACAGGGCGTGCAGATGGGAGATAAACTATATCAGACCCCTGTCTGCTCTCTATTATTAAGTATATTTTGTTGCCAAATCCTTAGAGCTAATGAAGAAACAGAGACAGCATGGAAAGGTTTGATAGTGAGAGTTAAAACGAACTCTGTCCTACTTGTAAGGAACAGGACAAAGACTCCGCGTCTCCCAGTGCTGATTCAACACACGGAGGAGCTTGGACACGGCAAGCCCTTGCCGCCACTTCCCATAAACCCAGCTCGGTTATCAAGAGAACCAAGGTGTCATCAAACCAGGCTACAAATACAGAAAACTGTAGGTTTCAAGGGTTATTGATCGGGGCATGTTCCTGACTCGGACAAGGTCTTTGGTCAAAATATGACCTTTCGCAAGGGAAACGATAATATCACACCATGTAAGAAGAGGAGCGATTCCCCGGCACTCGGCCCTGCGCTGTTCACCGAGAGCCTCCTCATCCCGGCGCCGCGGTCTGACCCTCACGATGGGCCGTGTGACACCATCTGGCCCATAGGCCCCTTTCCTTAGGAGATATACGAAGTAACTGAGCCCCAGCAAAATCAAATTTGCCCGGTGTCGGGGGCTAGCAAGTGGCGGAGAAAAGACGAGAACTCCGAGTCGAGTCTCGTCCGCCGTCCTCTCCTTACGCCAGGAGCTCCCGGGTGGCAGGCAGCAGCTCACTCCCGCCAGCAGTGATTAATTTTAGGCTTTTAGGATTTACGGTGAAAGATAAATATTACAAAACAGTCTTCCTCAGGAAAACGTGGGCTTTCTGAATTTTTAATGTAGGGCCTTAGTTTCTTTAATGGAGTACTTGGTGGGAGGAAATTATTCACTCATTATTTATTCTAAACCTAGTATGTGCCAGGCTCTTGCTAGGAGCCGTACACAGGGACAGACAGACAGACGTGACTCTGCTCTGTAGAGCTTACGATCTAATCGTGGACCCTCGAGAACTAGCGTCTGCCTTCTACCTCAAAAATACAGAAAGTCCAGGGACAAGGCGACAGCCGCCATTGTTTTCTTCGCACGCACACACGTTTACGTGGTTGTCGCCACTCTTCGCCCAGCTCGCTTACTTATGAGACTTTTTCACGTTGGTGCCATCGGGTCCCTTCCCACAGTCGTAGGCCTGGATGGTGAACGAGTAGTCTTTCTGCAGCTCACAGTCCAGTTTCTCTTTCGAGCGAATCACGCCCTCACCAGTGGACTTGTCCACCACCACTGCATCAAAGGGGACACTCTGCCCGTGAATTTTAAAGCCACAAATCTCACCTGGGGAGTCAAAGCAGAACAGGTTAGAACTTCTGCCACACAGACCTTCTGCACCTTGCCCTCCTCCCCATCCCTCCACCCCGAAAGAAAATAAATGACAACAATTCGGCAGCCAGGGGTTTGGAGGGTCTGTGGAAAAGCAGGGCGCGGTGCTTTAACATGGGGGAGTTCTGGGGCTCTAGTAAAAAGAAGCATATTCTGGCTTTCCAAGCAACTTGTTTACTTTGCATCCATTCATGCAGGAATACAAAAGAGAGAAAGAGAAAATATAGACAGGCATTCCACAGGAGCACTTAAGACAGCTCGAGGGTAAACGGAGTGTCGCTAGCAAACAGCCAAGGCCTGAGAACACCAGTGCTGCCCCAGCCACCGGGAGGGCCGGGCGGCCACTTTGATTTGGACCAGAGAGAAGCTAAAATGCAGTTAAGTGTTGAGAGAGGAAGAAGCGTGAGATATAGGATCAGCACCGTAATTACAGAAATTCTGTCCAAAAAAAAAAAGAAAAAGATCAAAAGAAACAAGTCTTCCTGTGCAATGAGCCTGGCTAAAATTAGGGAATCAAAACAAACTACTAAATGAGACAGGTAGAAATACCAACTTTTCAGGCATCCATTTCAACAGCTATCATCCACGATTAAGACGTAGTTTCTATTACGGGGAGGGATTTGCTAGACTTCCCTTTGTTTCGGACTTTATCCTACCAAACCTGAAAAAAACACCAGCCTGGGAATTTAACTACATCTGAACTGGCTCACAAGCTTAATTAGGAGTTAAAAATCTATGTTTCCATTCTTGCCCATGGGAGAACAATTATAAATGTTTTGAGGTTTACGTAAAACTGTGCAGAATGTTTTTCACATAAAAATGAGACTGAACTCTTCCACAATTCCAAATAGAAAATTGGTATGAAGCAAATCTCTTAAGTCTCTGAAGTTCAATTACATAAACATGTAGAGTATGATCCACATAGTTCAAATGGATGTCTGATTTCCAGATATTTCTAACCAAGGGTCTGGTTACGTAAAATTTCCGTCAATATATTTTAAAATAGAAACAAAGTAGGAGAATAAATGGGGTAAAAGAGCATGACAGTTTCTTCTGTTTAAGGGCTGATTCCCAATTTTATAAACAAAGTTAGTGGGTTAATACTCATAAGGGGGATAGAAAGAACCCTTTATCACCTTCTTTGGTGACTGTCACCTCAAAACTCTCTAAAGGGAGAAAAGATAAACCCATGTCAGTAATACAGGAAAGAATGAAGACGGAACAATAAGGAAAAAAGTCAAAGATGCACATATTACACAGAAAAGCTTGACATATAATTTAATGATAAGCTCAGTAGCCAGCTGCTAGGATTGCTACAGTGAAACCGGATCCTCAGTAACACAATGTCACTTTGAATCCAACTTACCATGAACTACTGCATCACTCTGCAGTTACCCTAACTGAAGGATAAAAAACTGCTATGAAGTTTCCTCACACCCTCAAGTGTCATTTTTCATTTAATGAACACTTTGATGACAACAATTAATAAGTAAACCTATTTGTTACTTTACAGTTTTCAGATTTTCATTTTCAAGCTATTAATAAATTCTCTCAGCTAGATTCAGGTAACGTTCAACTCATCATTAAATTTAATGAAACAAAAATTTGGAGCAAAAGGTTTTAACCTTTTGAACTGAATAAGTAACAATGTTTGTCTAACCTGAAGTACCCAACCAAGGCAGCAAATATAAACTCCTCTGCTAACAGAACAGTTGCTTGCATGTGATCAGAAATCAGATTTAAAAAACTGTACCGGTGCTACCGTGACTGCTGTCTTTATTACGTGAAAACGATGTTCTGCGCTGTTATACCCGGTCAACACACGCCCTGCCCGCCACACCCTCTACCCCAGAGGAGTAAATCTGAATAGGTCAGTCCCGATGCCCCTCAACACACACAGCACGCGCTCCCGTTGGCACCATCTCTCCCCCAAAGGTGATACAGCCTGGACTCCCTTGGTTTTAAAAATCACAGTCTGGGCCGGGCGTGGTGGCTCACGCCTGTAATCCTAGCTCTCTGGGAGGCCGAGGTGGGTGGATTGTTTGAGCTCAGGAGTTCGAAACCAGCCTGAGCAAGAGCGAGACCCCGTCTCTACTAAAAATAGAAAGAAATTAATCGGACAACTAAAAATATATAGAAAAAATTAGCCAGGCATGGTGGCGCATGCCTGTAGTCCCAGCTACTCGGGAGGCTGAGGCAGAAGGATTGCTTGAGCCCAGGAGTTTGAGGTTGCTGTGAGCTGGGATGACACCATGGCACTCTAGCCAGGGCAACACAGTGAGACTCTGTCTCAAAAAAAATAAAAAATAAAAATCACAGTCTGTATACTTCCCCTGAACAGTGTTGTTTCATTTTGCTTGTTTTTAAGATTCTAAAAATGGTATCATATGGTAAGCGGTTTGTGACTTGCTTTCCCCTGCAACCTGTGTGTCTAAGATTCAATCAGCCTTTCCGACGTATGTCATTGAAGTTTATCCGCTTTCCACCACTACCCAACAGTGAGAATCCAACGAGTTAAAACGTGTACAGGGCTTAAGACTCTGCCTGGCATAAAGAGAGCACTCTGCAAACGTTTACTATCAATTGACCATTTTCCATTACGTGAGAATTCCTTTGCTTTGCTGCTTACGAACGACGCTGTAACAGACATTTCTGCCCGTGCTTCCTGCTGCACGTGCACAAGAGCCTCTGTACAGCCGTGCTGCCCACACGGTAGCGGCTGGCCACATGGGGCTACTCAAATGTAAGCTAAACTTCATGTTAAAATGAAACGATATTAAACACCCAGTTCCTCAGGCACACTGGCCACATTTCAAGTGCTCAGTGACCACACGTGGCTGGTGACTGCTTTAAGGAGAACGTGGACACGGAGCTCTCCGGTCATCACAGCAAGTTCTACTGGACAGCGCTGCTCCAGAGCCCCGGTCTGCCCACCATGGTTTCCAGGCCACATCCAACCTGCTCGTTTTGGAACAGCCCACTTGCAAAGAATGGTCTTAACCTTTTAAAATAGTATTTCACAACATGAGAAAATTAAATTCAAATATCAGTATCCATAAATAATGTTTTATTGGAACACAGACACGCTCATTAGTTTAACGTATGACCTGTGGCTGCTTTCACGCTGCAATGGCAGGGTTTATTGCAGAGTTACGTCACTGCAAGAGACACCCTGTGGGATGCAAAGACTAAAATATTCACCATCTGGTCCTTTACAGCAAAGGTTTGCTGATCCCTGCCCTAAAGCTGTACCTATGAGTAGAACTGCCAAGTACCGGCTATGACAAATTGCTTTCCTGGTTGTGCTGATTCACTATATTATACTTTCTGGATGTATATTAACATTGTATAACACATTTAAAAATAATTCAGGTTGCCCAGCTTTAATTCACAGAAAACTTCTCAGTTTTCAACTTGGAGTTTACTGCTCTAAAGAGAAATGGTGAGTTCCAGAGCTGAGTTGACAGTGACTGCAGTGTGCCCTCCTAACAAAGGTCACTCCGCAGGTGAGTGCAGATGTAAGTCCCCTTGGATGAGGTACGTGGCCCAGGTAATGCTGCCAAGGCAGTGCGCTGCTAAATGAGGAGTTAGACACATTCAAGCCTTTGAGATTGTTTCTGACCATGAGATTATCAGGAGTGGAACCATTTGCCAATAGTCATAAACTCGCTACATCGCTCCCTGAGATACCACACTGCCATGAGGGGGGCAGAATATGCAGTGCAGGAGGGCACCAGGGTGTCTCAGGTTTTCTATTTTAAACTAGTCAAATGCAGCAGTGACATAGGGGAAAGAGTAGAACAAGGAGTTCCATCTCTAACTGTGAACAATCAGTGGAGACAACTGACTATACCTTCAGACCAGCCTGGTGTTTCAAATTTTAGATTTCAGGCGTTCAGGGAAGGCTTCACTGACAAAACAAGGTCTGAGTAGAGACCAGAGGAACTAAGGGAGCAGGCCCTGGGATATCTGAGGAGGAATTTCAAACAGAGGAACAGCAAGTGCAAAGGCCCTGAGGCAGGAACCAGGAGGCCTGTGCGGCTAGGATGGCTGAGCAAAGGGGAGAACAGCAGGTAAGGCTGGCTACGCTGCGCGGGGCCTTGTAAGGTACAGAAAGAACCGCAGCTTTTCCTTCGAGTAAGAAGGACATGATCAGAGGGTTCTGAGCATGTCTTATATTTTGAAAGGACCCCTCTGGCTGGTGTGCTGAAATAAGTCTATCAGAGGGCAAACACAGGTATCTGAGTAACCCTGGCAAGAGATGGTGAGGGCCAGAACCGGAACCAGGATGGTGAGAAGGGGTCAGGTTCAGGTGCACTCTGAAAGCGAGGGCAGCGCTGTCGGGTTGTGAGAAACTGTGAGATGAAGCTGCTTTGTACGGACACGGGAAAGACTCCAGAGGGAAGGTTTTGGGGAGGATTGGGAGTTAGCACACCAGCTGTGAACGTGCGTCGGTATTACAGTTTGCCAGGGGAAATATATTCTACTATCTTGGAATAGTGTCTCAAAGGTATGATTATCAAATATAGGAATATACGTTTAAAAACTCATTGTGTATTTACAGGCTATTCTCCAAAAGACGAGATCTGATCCATTTATAAGGAGAACAGCAAAAACATGCAACTGTTATCTTTTCCCACACAGCCTCGCCTATTTGGAGTATTTAAGTTGGCTACTTTAACGGGTTCCACCAACAGGACCTGGTGTCTCAAATCCACTGGTACTTACTAAACTGCTAGTTGGGCTGCGTTCTTTACTATGATGACTTAAAACTCGTCTCGCCAGGGTGGTGGGCTGGTGAGGCAGGGGCAGCAGGGGCAGACCCGGGCCCCGCGCACAACAGGGCTGGGTCTGCTGAGCGGCCTGCAGAGCCGGCCAGGATGCCCACGGCGTGGGTCCATCTGTTCATTCGACCTACAACCCTGATTTGAAGGTGGAAGACGGATCCGACCAGGGCAAGGCTGGGGCAGTGAACAAGCCACAACTATGGTAGCATCTCGGATGCGTCAGGATGAGGGCTGAACGAGGGCAGTGTTAGCGGGAAACACTGAAGGGACTTCGTAACCAACTGGACAGAAAGTCTGGAGTCACTGCCCAGTCTTTGGCTGATGGGGTCATTATTGGAACTAAATGACAGAGAAAGAGAAAAGTGCCTGGGACAAAAGTGACGAGCTCATGTGCCTATCTCATCTCTCCCTGGCAACTTGCTGGTTTGTTTGCTGGAGCATTGTAAAGCCAATCCTGGACGTGACATTGTTTTGTGCACACATGCAGTTGTCCCTCGGCATCCTCGGGGGATTGCTTCCAGGACCTCCCTTGGACACCGAAATCTGAGGATGCCCAAGTCGGTGCATTTGCATATAACCCACACATATCCCCCTGGGAATAACCCTAATCATCTCTAGATGATAATACAGTGTGAATGCCATGTAAGTAGTTGCTATACAGGTTGAGGATCCCTTATTTGAAATGCTTCGGAACAGAAATGTTTCAGATTTCAAATTTTTTTCAGGCTTGAGGATATCTGCATAAGCATAATGAGCTATCTAGGGTACCCAAGTCTAAACGTGAAATTCATTTATGTTTCATATACACCTTATACATATAGCCTGAAGGTAATTTTATACAATTATTATTATTTTCTTTTTTGAGAAAGTGTCTCACTCTGTTGCCCAGGCTAGAGTGCTGTGGCATCAGCCTAGCTCCCAGCAACCTCAAACTCCTGGGCTCAAGTGATCCTCCTGCCTCAACCTCCCGAGTAGCTGGGACCACAGGCATGTGCCAGGACGCCCAGCTGATTTTTTTTCCATTTTTAGTAGAGATTGGGTCTTACTCTTGCTCGGGCTGGTCTTGAACTCCTAAGGTCAAGCGATCCTCCTTGCCTCAGCCTCCCAGAGTGCTAGGATTATAGGCATGAGCCACCGTACCTAGAGTACAATTATTTCTTACAATTTTTTGCATGAAACAAAGTTTTCACTGCATTTTGACCGTGACTTATCACTTGAAGTCTCGCATGCAATTTTCCACTAGTGGTGTCATGTCAGTGCCCAGATTTCGGAACATTCTGGATTTCGGATTTTCAGATTAATGATGCTTAACCTGTACTGTATTGTTTAGGGAATAATGACAAGAGAAAAAAAATTCTGTACACGTTCAGTACAGACAC